GAGCATTTCTACCAATTGAAGAGCCTTCTGCCAACCGACAGTGAGGAGTAAGTCTATGAAATGAGAAACCCTTCTGCCAACCAACAGTGATGAGCTGGTTTACAGATTGAGTACCCCTCCACCAACCAACAGTGAGGAGCAATTTTACGCATGAAGGACCCCTCCACAAACCAACAGTAAGCAGCAGTTTTACAGACCAGATGAAGCCCTCTTTAAAGATGGGGTGATACTGCAAGCAGCTGGCGTTTCTCCAGCTGAAATAATGCCTAGGAGTGCTGATGCCCAAGAAGACCTCCTGCTCTTCAACCTTTTGCCAACATATCACACCCAAGGTGTCGTCTTCACACTTTTCTCAAGACCTCTTGCTCATCATTCTCTTCTTAACACATCACCCAATTCATCCTCTCAACTGCTTCTGCTCACCAACCTTTTCCCAACATATCACTTAAACTGTCCTCTCCACTCCTTCCAAGACCTCCTACACACCATCCTCTTCTTTACATATCACCTACACCATCCTCTCTGTTCCTCGCTTCTCCAAAGACCTACTGCTCACCAACCGTTTCCCAACATATCACCTAAGCTGTCCTCTCCATTCCTCCCAAGACGTCCTAAACATCATCTTCATCTTTACATGTCACCCAAACCATCCTCTCTGTTCCTTGCTTCTCCAAAGACCTCCTGTTTTCCAACCTTTTCCCAACATATCACCTAAGCTGTCCTCTCCACTCCTCCCAAGACCCCATGCTCACCATTCTCTTCTTAACATATCACCCAAATCGTCCTCTCCACTCTTCTCAACTTCTGCTCACCAACCTTTTCCCCAACACTTCACCCAAGCTGTCCTCTCTGCTCCTTTCAAGACCTCCTACTCACCATCCTCATCTTAACATATCACCCAAACCATCTCTGCTCCTTCAAAGACCTCCTGCTCACTAATCTTTTCTCACAATATCACCCAAGCCGTTCTCTCCAGACCTCCTGATCACCATTCTATTCTTAAACTATCACCCAAACTGTCCTCTCCACTCCTCTCAAGACCTCCTACTCACCATCCTCGTCTTAACACATCACCCAAACCATCTTCTCTGCTCCTTGCTCCTCCAAAGACCTTCTGCTTACTAACCTTTTCCCAACATATCACCTAAGCCACCCTCTTTGCTCCTCTCAAGACCTCCTTCTTACCAACCTTGTTCCTACATATCACCCAAACTGTCCTCTCTGCTCCTTTCAAGACCTTCTACTCACCATCCTCGTCTTAACATACCACCCAAACCATCAATGTTCCTCCAAAAACCTCCTGCTCACTAATCTTTTTCTCACAATATCACCCAAGCCGTTCTCTCAAGACCTCCTGCTCACCATTCTATTCTTAAGCTATCACCCAAACTGTCCTCACCAATCCTCTCAAGACCTCCTACTCACCATCCTCCTCTTAACACATCACCCAGACCATCTTCTCTGCTCCTTGCTCCTCCAAAGACCTCCTGCTTCCTAACCTTTTGTTGGGAAAAGGTTAGGAAGCAGGTCTTTGAAGGAGCAAGGAACCGTTCTCTTTGCTCCTCTCAAGACCTCCTTCTTACCAACCTTGTTCCTACATATCACCCAAACTGTCCTCTCTGCTCCTCCAAAGACCTTCTATTCACCATCCTCATCCTAACCTGAACGTACAAACCAGATAAAACAAAATGCATTCAATTACAGAGTTGAATTAAAATGGACCAATAAAGAGAAGTTCATTGTTAGAATTTGCAATGGGCTGCCAACACGACTGATCTGCACCCCAATGTATTGTGGGGTGTTACGCTGCAAGGTAGGTGCGTGGGGATGGCATTCATGAAAGGTGAAGAAATGCACCATACTACGGGAGTAGAGTAGCAGTGACAGGACCATTACTATACAGTACTGCAATGAGACCATTTGAAGGGGCCCTAAGTGTTATCACAGGTTAGTGAAGTGGCGTGACGGATTGCCATCCCAGCCACAGTCTTGTTCCGACTTCACTGAGGACCCCTGCACCGAACAACAGAGAAGAGCAATTCTATGGACTGAAGATCCCTCCACCAAGCAACTGTGAGGAGAAATTCTACAGACAAGGGATCCCTCCACCAATCAACAATGAGGAGTAATTCTGTGGACTGAGGACCTGCAGTGAAGAGCAGACTGAGGACACCTCCAACAACCAAGAGTGAGGAGCAATTCTACAAACTGGGAACCCCTCTGTCAACCAACAACAAGGAGCAAATATATACACTGAGGACCCCTTTGCCAACATACAGTGAAGAGCCGTTCTACAGACCGAGGACCTCTTCACCAACCAACAGCAAGGAGCAATTCTGCAGACCGAGGACCCCTCCACCAACCAACAGCAAGGAGCAATTCTACAGACCGAGGACCCCTTCACCAACCAACAGTAAGGAGCAATTCTACAGACCGAGGACCCCTTCACCAACCAACAGTAAGGAGCAATTCTACAGACCGAGGACCCCTTCACCAACCAACAGTAAGGAGCAATACTACAGACCGAGGACCCCTCTGCCAACCAACAGTAAGGAGCAATACTACAGACCGAGGACCCCTCTGCCAAACAAGCGTGAAGAGCAATTCAAAAGACTGGGGACCTCTTTACCAACCAACAGTAAAGAGCAATTCTACAGACTGATGATTCCTCTGCCAACCTACAGTGAAGAGCAGTTCTACAGACCGAGAACCCCTCCACTAACCAACAGTAAGGAGCAATTCTACAGACCGAGAACCCCTTCACCAACCAACAGCAAGGAGCAGTTCTACAGACCGAGGACCCCTTCACCAACCAACAGCAAGGAGCAGTTCTACAGACCGAGGACCCCTTCACTAACCAACAGTAAGGAGCAATTCTACAGACAGAGGACTCCTTCACTAACCAACAGTAAGGAGCAATTCTACAGACCGAGGACCCCTTCACTAACCAACAGCAAGGAGCAATTCTACAGACCGAGGACCCCTTCACAAACTAACAGAAAGGAGCAACTCTACAGACCGAGGACCCCTTCACCAACCAACAGTAAGGAGCAATTCTGCAGACCGAGGACCCCTCCACCAACCAACAGCAAGGAGCAATTCTACAGACCGAGGACCCCTTCACCAACCAACAGTAAGGAGCAATTCTACAGACCGAGGACCCCTTCACCAACCAACAGTAAGGAGCAATTCTACAGACCGAGGACCCCTTCACCAACCAACAGTAAGGAGCAATTCTACAGACCGAGGACCCCTTCACCAACCAACAGTAAGGAGCAATACTACAGACCGAGGACCCCTCTGCCAACCAACAGTAAGGAGCAATACTACAGACCGAGGACCCCTCTGCCAACCAAGCGTGAAGAGCAATTCAAAAGACTGGGGACCTCTTTACCAACCAACAGTAAAGAGCAATTCTACAGACTGATGATTCCTCTGCCAACCTACAGTGAAGAGCAGTTCTACAGACCGAGAACCCCTCCACTAACCAACAGTAAGGAGCAATTCTACAGACCGAGAACCCCTTCACCAACCAACAGCAAGGAGCAGTTCTACAGACCGAGGACCCCTTCACAACCAACAGCAAGGAGCAGTTCTACAGACCGAGGACCCCTTCACTAACCAACAGTAAGGAGCAATTCTACAGACAGAGGACTCCTTCACTAACCAACAGTAAGGAGCAATTCTACAGACCGAGGACCCCTTCACTAACCAACAGCAAGGAGCAATTCTACAGACCGAGGACCCCTTCACAAACTAACAGAAAGGAGCAACTCTACAGACCGAGGACCCCTTCACCAACCAACAGTAAGGAGTAATTCTACAGACCGAGGACCCCTTCACCAACCAACAGTAAGGAGTAATTCTACAGACCGAGGACCCCTTCACCAACCAACAGTAAGGAGCAATACTACAGACCGAGGACCCCTCTGCCAACCAACCGTGAAGAGCAATTCTAAAGACTGGGGACCTCTTTACCAACCAACAGTAAAGAGCAATTCTACAGACTGATGATCCCTCTGCCAACCAACTGTGAGGAGCAATTCTATGAACTGAGGACCCCTCCATCAACCCAACTGTAAGGAGCAGTTTTACAGATTGTGGACCCCTCTGCCAACCAAAAGTAAGGAGTAATTCTATGGACCGAGGACCCCTTCACCAACCAACAGCAAGGAGCAATACTACAGACCGAGGACCCCTCTGCCAACCAACCGTGAAGAGCAATTCTAAAGACTGGGGACCTCTTTACCAACCAACAGTAAAGAGCAATTCTACAGACTGATGATCCCTCTGCCAACCAACTGTAAGGAGCAATTCTATGAACTGAGGACCCCTCCATCAACCAACTGTAAGGAGCAGTTTTACAGATTGTGGACCCCTCTGCCAACCAACAGTAAGGAGTAATTCTATGGACCGAGGACCCCTTCATCAACCAACAGTGAGGAGCAATCATATGGATTGAGGACCCCTCCACCAACCAACATTAAGGATCAGTTCTACATCTCCCCAGGCGCCAACAATATTTCATACAAGGCTGACACAGCGTGTGGTAAGAATTTCTTGAGACACATCCTTCTCCAACCTCCCATGGAGCTCAGCCCAGCAGACACAGTCCATCATGTGACAGTGAAGCACATGTATGACTCCAGTCAGAGGCATGTGGTTAAAACGAGACACGAGGAATGGCCTGTCAGGGTGGTCAAAAAGAGATTGTTGTTCCACCACGAATAAACAAGCTGAGGGTCATGTGACGGGGGAAAACAGGCGGTGGGCCCTTAGAGCTGATAATAAACTATACTGGAGATAAACAGGCGAGGCGGGGGTGACAATGGCTGTCATTGGTGATGGAGGGACTCAACATGGAGCTTCTGGAACCATTTCTGAATCCAGTGTGGACTTCTCATAACCGAGAATGACACCCGGCACCGGAGAAGGGGACTGCTACAGAGTCCATACATACATGAATAAGAGGAGGATACCGAGAATGACACCCCGGCATCCAGGACAGGAGAAGTGGGACTGTGCAGAGTCCATACATACAGAATAAGGGGAGATACCGAGAATGACACCCGGCATCCAGGACAGGAGAAGTGGGACTGTGCAGAGTCCATACATACAGAATAAGGCTAATACCGAGAATGACACCCGGCATCCAGGACAGGGAGAAGTGGGACTGTGCAGAGTCCATACATACAGAATAAGGGGAGATACCGAGAATGACCCCGGCATCCAGGACAGGAGAAGTGGGACTGTGCAGAGTCCATACATACAGAATAAGGGGAGATACTGAGAATGACACCCGACATCCAGGACAGGAGAAGTGGGACTGTGCAGAGTCCATACATACAGAATAAGAGGATTGATACCGAGAATGACACCCGGCATCCAGGACAGGAGAAGTGGGACTGTGCAGAGTCCCATACATACAGAATAAGAGGAGATACTGAGAATTACATCCCGGCATCCGGGACAAGGAGAAGTCGGGACTGTGCACGAGTCCATACATAATACAGAATAAGAGGAGATACCGAGAATGACACCCGGCATCCGGGACAGGAGAAGTGGGACTGTGCAGAGTCCATACATACAGAATAAGAGGAGATATACCGAGAATGACACCCGGCAATTCAGGACAGGGAAGTGGGACTGTGCAGAGTCCATACATACAGAATAAGAGGAGATACCGAGAATGACACCCGGCATTCGGGACAGGGAGAAGTGGGACTGTGCAGAGTCCATACATACAGAATAAGAGGAGATACCAGAGAGAATGACATAAACCGGCATCCAGGGGACAGGAGAAGTCGGAACTGTGCAGAGTCCATACAGATACCGAGAATGACATGAGTGTACATGGGAGGAAGTGTCCCCAGCCCTGTCACTCTATGGACATCTCTGTCCCCCCCATTTATACAAATCAGAATGGGGGGCGCAGCGATTGCATTCAAGTGGCCGATATCTTTGACATCTGTATCCCTTCATGCCAGAGTGGATTGCTTAGCTCTTCAGGCAAGCATGCGACTTGCTTTATGACCTGAATATTCCCTCCCTCCATGCGGGTGGCATCCTGGATGAATGCGCTCAATACCTCCAATACTGTGCCCCACCCTCGCTTGCATCAGGTGGCTGCCTAATCTTTATGTCAAGCCTCCCCAGGATTCAGAATGGATTGCTAGCTCCGTAGGCAATGCAGAAAATTTGTGCCCCATTGCAGGGGACTTGGAGGGTGTTTGCTTACCTGTGAAGCGGCTTTGCTGCCCCGAAAAAGAAATGCTCCATGCTGCCCGGTGTGCCACACAGCTCTGTCTGCTCAAGACTCTTCCCCTCTGTACATCTCCATGCAACAAGGCTGGAGCCTGAATCACACACAGCCCCGCCGCAATGTATTCTGGGGGAGAGAGTGCTGGGCTGTCACATGTGACCAGGGGGGGCCAACAGAAAACATGTTTGTTTACAGAAGAGCTTACGTGATTTATATTGTATATTACTGCGAGATGAAATATTTCCTGAGAAATGACGTGTTCCTGAATATATTTATCTGAACATCACAATATGTATTCTACTTCTGACATCACATCATTGGTGAAAATACAATATTACGACTTATAGTTAATAAATACACAATATGGGGTTCAATTCCATTACATTTTTATTATTTTGTACAATCTTTTATTATTATTTTTGTTAGTCTAATATTATTATTTTTGTATTATTATTTTTATTCTGTATGGTATTACAATATATTTTATTGCATTGTATTATAATAAACAAAAATATATGTTTCATGTTACTTGATATTATTGTATTACATGATATTATATTTTTTTATTATTTTAATATGATATGGCATTCAATTATAGGAACATTGTATATATATATATTTTGAGTACATTCTTTTATTATTAGTTTTGTTAGTCTAATATTATTATTTTGTAAATTTAAATTTTATTCTGTATGAATATTACAATCTATTTGGATTGCCCTTGATTATATACACAAAACATATATGTTTTCAGTTTACTTGATATTAATGCATTACATATTATATTTTTTTATTAGTTTATAGATAATGGCATTCAAATTAATTACATTATTTTCATAACATTTATTATATATCTTCTATTATTAAGTCATATTTAAATAATTATTAATTACTAATAATTAATAATTAATTATAGGATAATATTATTTATTTCTATAACCTAAAAAATTCAATATTATATTATAGTTTAAACTATATAATGATGGTATTCTAATTCTATTCATTTTTTTATTCTATTAATTAGTACAATCTTTATTATTTAATTAATTTTGTTAGTCTAGTCTATATTATTATTTGTATTATTTTATTCTGTATGAAATTACAGACAATATATTGATTGCTATAAATTGTATTATATTAACAAAAAAATATATTTTTCATGTTACTTGAATCTTATTGTATTACATTATATTATATTTTTTTATTATTTTATATGAATGGACAATACTATAAATAACATTTCTTTCATAATATATATGTATAATTCTATCTATTATTATTTTAATATTATGGGATTTAATAAAAATTATATATATCTAGAATTTGTATATAAATACAAATTTAAACAAAACAAACAATAAAAATACTGTATAGTTTAAATATATAATATGGAAATCTTCAATTACCATTACATTTTATATTCAAAAATTTTGTACATTCTTTTTATTATGTATTTTTGTTAGTCTAAATTATTATTTTTAGAAAAATATAAATTATTATAATTTAAAAAAAAATAAGTTTTTATGTTACTTGATATTATTTCTTTTCATGATAATAAATAAAACAGTGGGGGTGGAAAGTTTTGGGCACCCCCGCTAAAAAATTTTTATTAATGTCAAAAAGAAGCCCAAAGGGAAAAATGGAAAAAAACTCCAAAAAAGGGATCAAAATTTAAAAATTAGACATTCTTTTAATTGTCAACAAAAAATTTTTAAAAAATTTTATTTTCCCTCATTTACCTTTCAAAATAACAGAAAAAAAAAAAAAATGGCGTCCGCAAAAGTTTTTGGGGACCCCTGCAGGTTAATTTTCTGTACTGCCCCCCCTTTTGGGAAGTTTTCCCAGCTTTTAAACGCTTTTTTTTAGCCAAACCCAAAAGTCTTTTAATTCCCTTTTTTGAGGTTCTTTTTCCCAAATTTTTTCCCTTTCAAAAGTCTTCCAGTTCTTTGGATTTCTGGGGGGTCTGTCAGCACTGCTCCCTTTTAAGGTCATCCATAGATTTTTTAATTATGTTGAGGGCAGGGATTGTGAAAGGGCCCCTGGCAAAAATTTAGTTTACGCCTCTTATGTAAAACCCCCTGGATTTCGAGTGTTTTTTTTAGGATATTTTCCATTTTTAGAAAACCATTTCTTTAACTTCAAAACTTTTTCACAGAGGCAAACAAGTTACCATCCAAAATTTGCTGAAATTTTTTTTGATTCCATTTTTTCCCTTTTTTCGGTGAGATGTTTTCCCCGTGCCACTGGCC